AATTCATTCCTGTTTGTAAAGCATTTTGAGATGTTCAGACTGAAAGTACTATGGAAATGCAAATTATTATCAGCTGTATTCAACATTGGTGGGCACGTTGGAAATGGATAGGTGAATAACATCAGCAGGACTCTCTGCAAAGCCTGGCATAATTAATGCTATTCTGTTTCTTTCCCTAGTGAAACTCCCTACACCCCAGGGGCTGTTAGCGCGACTCCTGGTGAGTAGACCATGAGAATAGGTTTTCTGCGAAATGTGAAGTGGGACTGTTAACTATAAAAATCGGTTTTATAGCTAGATATTTATAGACAGGCTGAGGAATGTGTATGATTGGGTCTCTCTCTCTCCACCCTCTCCTGAGACACACTGTTCTGCATCCTCGTACTAGCTAGAATGCTTGCTTCTTCAGGAAGACACTGCAGTAGAAGCAACAACTCTATTGTATGGTCTTCACAATGAGAGAGTCTGAACTATTCCTTCCTTCAGGAACAAACTGGTGTTGCGCTGACAAAACTTAGCCTGTTCTTTCTATCTCATTAACAGGTAGTAGCCTCATCCCCTTATGAAAGAGAAGGACATGGATGTGCTGCCTTGCAATTACTTAAGGCCCTGCACCACAATATCCATGCAGCAGTGGGTGAGATGTGGGTACTAAAGATCCCACCTCTGCTGCAGTACATTGAAGGTAAAGTGCTAGTTAGTAGGAGTGCGGTCCATGGAGAATAGAAGGGAAGCCACAAAATGCAGCTTCCTATTGACATGTGTTGTGCCATTCCTGCTGCAGTACATGGGAACAGTGGGGAATTGAAATTGGGCTTCTAGGCCCTCACTTTTCCTTCACCTGGATAACTGTGAACCACTGGGGTAAATCCAGAGTTTAACCACTGAGGCCAATTCAATCAGAGCAGAATCAGGCCAGGAAGGTTTCAGCTGAATGGAAATTTTACAGCAGTTCCCCCCACACCTTTGCTAGGTTATTAGTTGGGAAGGTGAATACACATGAAGCTGGAGGTTAGTGAAATATTTTGGAGTTACATATATAGTCTGATTTTGGAAACTGAATTTTTCTGAAAATTAAACCCCATGTTTACTTTCAAGGGTGATTCAATTAAAAAACCCAGAGTTTTTCTTTCTGTAAGGAAACCCGAGCCATAAAAACTAGGTTGGCCAAGTGGGTGCCCTTTGTAGAATCTAGGTATTATGGGCCTAAAAATGTCTTTCACCAATTTTACAGTGGTATGACTCTATTGACGTCCGTGGAAAAAACCCTTCAATCAGTGTAGGCCAAGGGTAGGCAACTTATGGCACGCGTGCCAAAGGCGGCACGCGAGTTGATTTTCAGTGGCACTCACACTGCCTGGGTCCTGGCCACTGGTCCAGGGGGCTCTGCATTTTAATTTAATTTTAAATGAAGCTTCTTAAACATTTTAAAAACCTTATTTACTTTACATACAACAATAGTTATATATTATAGACTTATAGAAAGAGACCTTCTTAAAATGTTAAAATGTATTACTGGCACGCGAAACCTTAAATCAGAGTGAATAAATGAAGACTCAGCACACCACTTCTGAAAGGTTGCTGACCCCTGGTGTCGGCTGTGTCTACACTATGGGGTTATGCCAGCAGAGCTCCAATGACGTAGCTGTGCCAGTGTAGTCTCTGTGGAATATGACAGACCCTATGTGGAGCACAAACCCGACATCTTTCTGAGGAACATCGGACCCCACAATGTTCAAGTGGGTTTGATATTCAAAAAAAGATTTAAGAAATGAGCTGTATCTTCCCTAGTTGTTGCTGTACAGAGTCCCCAGTATTACATTGTGCCGACATTAAAGAAGGGTAGATTAGAGCTGGACATTCAGAAACAGGGCCAGATTCTCAGCTGATGTAAATCAGTATAATTCTATTGACTTCAGTGAAGCTACACCGATTTACATCAAGTTAGGATCAAGTCCAGAATCTCTTATTATGCAGGAAAAGTTTGTATTCACATTAAACCCAGTCTTCTGATGTGCTGAACAGTTTTGTGATGTGCTAAGCACCGTCAGCTCCCATTAAAGTCAACAGGAATTGGGAGTGCTCAGCATCTCACTCCTGGTGGGTTGACTGACCCTGAATAAAAATGCCAACAGGATACATAACATGATACTTTCTGTTGGTCCAACAAAGAACATTGGCGTAGGTCCCATTTAGCCTTGAAAGCCCACGTATGTTACAGCTTGGCAGACTAGGAGTTTTAGAAGGACTGATTGCAAAGGAGATACCTGGGATGACTCTTCTTGCTAACCTAGGTGACGTTATTGTTTTGCCTCCTGCTTTATAGGAAACACAGAGAATTCCCTGGACCATGAACGGTGGGAGCACATGCTGCTTCAGGTACAAGATGGCTTTCAGCTGTATTGTCACAGCCCTCCCTCCCCCCTCCAAATGTATCAGCTGGGGAAAGAATAATGATAAATTATTCATTATAAGCAGAGCTGGTCAAACCATTTCATTTGCAACTTTTGTTCTGTGAAAAATGGCCTTTTTTATTTTCATGGGACATTTTCAAAATTTTTTTTTTACACAAAACAAAGCAACCCCAACCCAAATAGAAAATGTTTAGTTTTTTGAAACTGAAGTTGATTTGGGGTTTTTTTTTTCCAGTTGCTTTCCTGTTTGTCTCCTCCTGCCTCCGGCTTTTTCAGTCACAAAGTGGAAGAGGGGGAAACAGGCATGGGGACCAGAGATAAAGGGAAGGGAAGAGGGAAAACAAAGAATTGAATAATGGTCATTTTTGATTTTGAAAAGCAAAATATTTTTTGTTTTTTCACTTTTCATTTGTGTGTTGAAAAATCAAGAAAACAAAAAAATCCCATTTGTTTTGTGAAATGGACTTACTATTGTTCAACCAGCTCTAGTTATAAATAACTCTGTATTACCACTGGGAACAACACAAAACGTAACCAGAAAACCAGCATGTTAATGGTGCTAATCCATCACTGGGGGACATTTAAAGGATTCTTTTTTTCTATTTGCCACTCAAAAGAAAATTTGCTCTGAGAAACCCAAAAAGGAAAAGAGACAAGACAAGGTTTGGTGACTGTATCTCATGGAGAAGCCTTTCTGGTCAGAAGGAGCTCTTTATAGCCTCGTGTAAATCCAGACAAGGAACATTTTTATGGCGAGTGCTGAAAATGAAAGGAAAGGACCTAGTGACAAATAAGCCCCAGAAGGTTTGGAGTTCCATTTGGGGTTGGATTACACTCTAGAATTTCCCATTCCAGATCCAGCCTCATTTGAAATTCTTTGGGCTAAAAAAATCAAAGAAGATTAGGTTCTCTTGTGAGGTTTCTGATATTTTCTGGCTGCTGTTCAAAATTCGGGTCTGAAACAGCAAAGTGCTGAGAGTTACTAACCTCTTGCTGACTTCAATGGGAGTTGAGGGTGTGACCCCAGGTCCTTTGGGTACCCAGTGGCAGAGGCCACGGGAGTGCATAGTATTACCAGGATTCCCTGAATCTGATCTCCATATAATCAAAGGGTGTCATGTAAAGCTTTTACTGGATACCTGTGCCACACGGATCATCATAATCATTGCACAGTGACTGGATGGATAATATATAAGGCGTTATGGTTGTATACTGAAATTTATACTTTTAAGGTCTGTGAGTTGGGGCTGATCACCAGAAAGTGATCAACAAGTTTCTTTCAGGCAGGAGATGCTTATCTGTCTGAATGACTGTATGTAGATGAGTAATTCTTCACAGTGGATGCTAATCAATAGAGCAACATTCTAATCAAGTGATTGCAAAGTCTCCAGAGGAGATTCCATACAAGAAAAACAAACAAACAATAGGGGGTACCCTGTTTACAAGCGAAGACAATGGATGCTTGGAACTATATCTGGAGGTCCAGAGGTATCCTGTACCAGGTATCCTTCACCTATTGGATGAACTGCCAGCTGGCTTGTCTTATGAATGGAGGATCACATTTGGTTTGGGTGTTTCATGCTGGGAGAGAGATTTGGGGGAGCTATCCTTTGTGAGACAGGGGAATGTTTGGTTATCTAAGTTTAAGCTCTAGAAGTGTGTTATGATTTTATTTTTATGTAACCATTTGTTTACATTAATTTTACTTGCTGCTTCTCAAATCTCTGACCTTTGTGAATTAAACTCTACATGTTTTCACTATAAACGTATCTAAGTGAAGTATAGTTGTTTTCACTCTAAACTTATCTAAGTGTGTTAAATGGAGTGATGATGCTGAGGTGACACCAGTGACATGGTGTGTAGCAAACCTATGAATTCTGTGAGTGTCCAGTGGAACAGGGGTTGGACAGTCTCGGGATGCACAGAGGGCTTGGCAGTTGGACTGTACTGATTGCTTACCTGTAGAAAGACAGTGGAGCCTGGATGGGGTGAGAAGGGCATGCTTGTGTTTCCTGTGGCTGGCAGAGTCAGGAGCTGACACGTGGCAAGCACAGAGGAGGATTCCTCATGCTAAGGGCAGGTGGTAGTGAGGCACCTCACAATCCTCGGGACCCTCGGGAGGTGGCATAAAGGGTCCATAACACTTCAGAGAAGGTGCCTGGTCCTTCATAGTCCAGGGCCCTTTGTTCAAAATTTATTAGACCCATTCTCCATCCACTATAAAATCACTCCTCAATGGTCAGATTTCTTGGCTCCATCTCATTCTCCAATTCACTGTCCATCTGGGTTTGGGGACTGAGAGGAATCATCAGGCAAAGGTTAAAGAACAACAGGCAGAGGAAGTCTGGATTGTTGATGTTTATAGTTGTCAATAGGGAAATAATCTTCCCATGACACCTGAATATTGGAAATTTTACAACAGAGAACAAGGAAGAAAAAAACACCAAACAAACAAACAAACAAACAAACAAACAAACAAACAAACCCCACAACAAATTCTTGCAATTAACCATCTGCTTTAACTCTTGTTTTACACTCAGTTCCTAAGAACATCTCTGGAGATGATAGGCGACAGTGCCTGGAGCAGCCAGATAAGCCTTGAGTTGAGCCAGCAGATGGCCGGCTATGCCAGCCCCTCCAAAGAGAAGGTTTGTTATCTGTTAAGGCTTAGTTTCTAGTTAATTTCCCTTGAAATTCTGATTGGAGAACTGCATAAGGCTTCTCTCAAGGCTTCATTACTTTATATTTTATTCTGCATATAAAATTTGTTTTTACTTGTTCCCTGCTCTCTTGCCCCTCTCCCCCACCCCCCACCCGCCTGCCCGTCCTTCCAATATTTGCTTGGACAGGCTGCTTGTCTGTACTGCATTGTTGGTTCTCTGGCTGGGCTAGATGATGGGATGTTTCTGCAATATGGATGCTTGGACTTGGCTATCTTGTTCCTTCCTGAGTGTTGCTGAGCTGGGTCTGAACTGACAGGCACGTTGTGTTACTGATATCTCAGGGCTGGTCTCTTTCTTTCAGAGTTTCCTGTATAAGGCGCTAGGAACGTCCTTAGCAGTTTGTCAGGACCTGGTCCATGTTAAATCACAGATTAATACATTTCTGACGACAACAGATTATATGGAAGCCCCTGAGAGAGAGGTGAGGACTCTGTCCCTCTCCCCACTTTACCAAGTAATCCCTGAATGCTCCCTGTGGGGCTCAGCTCTGAGTTGGCCTGGGACAGATGCCATTTTGCTTCATATCCTCTTCATTGCTATTTCACTCAGCCCCCGCTGCCCATGTGTCTCAGGCCTGATTGGCACTTTACACCACTTCAGGTGAAAGGAATGGACTCGTGGGGTCTATGAGGCACCTGGTTAGATCCTAACCAGAATTTTTCTTGGGTGACAGGGAGTCATTTCCATCCTCGCATTGTCTGCTGAGAGCCACTTGGACCTCACCTTGAACGCACTTCAGGAGTTTGGGGCTGCAATGAGCAAGGTTAAGATTTCTGGGTTCATCGGCCACCTGAAGGTAAAGGAGCCAGGGGCTTCTCTCAAACTTTCTTTCCCGCTAAAGCAGGGGCAGCAACCCTGCGGTAGTGTCTGCTCTGGTCAGCTAGCATTGTCCCCCAATGTATGCATTCTGCATGATGCCTGCAGTTAAGCAAAGAGGAGCGCGATCTGGAGCTGGGGTTCTCTCAAATGATTTTTATCGTCTGATGTCTTTTCCATGCAAGCAACTGATGTAGTTCCCACACATTGTGCACGGGAGGGGCACTCAAGCCATGAGACATCAGACGATAAAAAATCATTTGAGAGAACCCCAGCTCCAGATTGTGCTCCTCT